CTCACACTCACACTCACACTCACACTCACACTCACACTCACACTCACTCACCCACTCACACTCACACTCACACTCACGCGCGCACTCACTCACCCACACACTCTCACTCTCACTCTCACTCTCACTCCCACACTCACTCACTCTCCCACACTCACTCTCGCACTCACCCACACTCGCACTCACACTAACCTTCAGTCCCACTCATACTCACACTCACTCTCACTCTCACTCACACTCACTCTCACCCACACTCACTCTCACTCAGACTCGCGCTCACTCACACTCACTCTCCCACTCTCACTCACACACACTCTCACTCTCACCCACACTCACTGACACCCACCTCCACTCATCTCTAGACTTTCTGCATACAAACCTCACGCACACAGTGTTGGGGTCTCTTGCCGGGATAATTAATCGGTTTTCCGCCACAAGTGACTAAATGGCACCGGAAGAAATCAGCCAGAGTCTGCAAGCACACTCCGCAATCCTGCCCGGAGCATATTTGCGAAGCCTCGGGTTTTGATTGAACACCCACGTGTTTTGAGGTGAAACTACGTTTTTTAAAGGTTTTGGTAGGCCAATGGTAATATATATATATATTATAGATTATGTTCTGTTGTACCAGCATCCGACGACAAACAGGTCTCCGAAATGGAGGCTATTGTTGGGAAGGCGAGAGTTCACGGTTCGAACCATTGGACCATTGGTGACTTAACATTCGGATGCAGGTATACATTCACCCCTCGTGTGTTTCTTCTTCACCCCGCACCTTGAACAGGTCGACTGTCGTGACTGTCAGCGTTTTCCACTGCGACTGCCCTTTCGCCGCAACTGCGACTCCCAACGTTGGACCGTCGGTCGCGTGAAGGAGGATTTCATGTACGAGAAAGTGATCCGGATCCTGGAGCGAGGTGGCCAGCCACTGGGCACCTAATTAGGGTGAAAGGCTGGCGGGTAGCAGTTTTGGGGTGGCAGTGGTGGAACACCAGATTGATCCTGAAAGGATCGTGTATACAGACATATATATATATATATATGATGTGTAGACGCTTGATTAACACTCCGACTCCCTCCCGCTCCAGACATGGATTGTTTACACCTCTGAAATACGGGGAGATTAGCATAGATTAGCATGGTAGGTGTGCAGTCACCAGCACACCCTAGCTGAAAACAGGACCCAACTCCAGCTCACTCGGCCACATGGCAGCCATGTCGCCGCACTCAACCATTGGAATATTATTTGTTGTTTGCACTTCTCCAGAGCGACGATGACCAGAGGTGCGTGTTTTCTATAATGTTCTCCTCTTTCCCAACCCAGACCATCCATGTATGGAATGTTATACTGTTTACTTACATTCCGGTCATACATTGAGGTGAATATATGATATTATGCAATTATTTTACACGTGGATGGTCTGGGCTAAGACATGTCCGGAACTTGGAGGCTTCGTTCACCCAATTTTCCTATCGGAACCGGGTTGTCGTGTGCTTCAGGAATGACTTCAGGAATGACTTCAGGAATACCTGTCGCCATGGAGTGTTTGGCGACTTCGAAAAGAGAGCGCCTCACTTTGGTGAAAGGATCCATGGAACCAAGCCCATGAGTTTCTGTTAGATCTATAATCCATAACGATCCAACAACGAATCTCAGACCGACCGGTCGTTCTTCGCGTGTTCGGAACGTCCAACCAGCCATGACCGGTCTGGTGCGACCGGAGCAAACAAGGAAAGAACGATGGAAGCGATGGGGTGCCACAAAGCAACAGCTTGCAGTGCTTGGAAGTTTAAATGGTGGAAGCGATGTGTCCAAATGATGGAAGAACCAGTCTCCATCTGATCCAAGCGGCAAACGCTAGAGCATGAAGAGCCTTTAGAAAGCACTCTTGCAGGTGCCTTTCCAAAGCACCTTCGTTGGGCAATGCAAGATCAGGCTTGTAAACAGCATCGGTGCAGGTTGTAATTCACATCGTTTAGATTTATAGTCAATTTAACATGTTGCTAATCACCGTGACAAGTACCTATAATTGCTGCCTTGGATGGACAATTCATGCTTTGGAACAGACATATAATCAACTGGAAATGACCGATATATCAAGAGAACAACCAGGGGAACCGGGGAACCGAAGAAACCCCCTCAGCTAGAGGTTCCGAGCTACACGGCCCGGCCTTGTTACGATCACCGAGCTCAGGCTCGCGCGGGCCACTGCTGTGGACCAAGAATTTCGAGACATGCAGATGGGCCAGTACAACAAGGCCCAAAGTCTCGTGCCGGATCGATCCTGCCGGTTTTGTTGGTCTGATTCTTTCTTTTCTTATGTTTCAGGCCCGGGCAGTTTGGAATGCGTGGCGTGAGAGGAGCTTTGTGGGTCAAGATGTTCGAAGCTCTTTTTTCTTGCAGACGTGTGAGGCCAAAACATATAGCTGTGGGTCTAAACCCGGAGCGCCAAGGTCCCCTGTTATTTGGTGTTTGTTTTTGTCAACCAGCGGCCAGGGTCCCCCAAGTTTGACCCACTGCCACATAGGTTCGTTCTCCCGTTTTCTTCCGCCTTTTCGGCCTTTTCGGCCTTTTCTGCGTCATATGTGGGTCGTGGGCCGTGGGTCACGTGGAGGTTCGGTCGTTTCACCTACACCAGGTAGGTCAACCGGTCGGTCTTTGGTGCCACATAGCCATGCATGAAGGCCCCGTGATCGGGACCGACCGAGGGGCGGCAGTTTCCCCACACCGGACTGGAATCGCTGACATGGGGTGGTTCAGTCATGTTTTTTAAAGGTCAAATGTAGGGTCTGTAGGGTCATATGTTCGATATATGGTCACATGGCTGCCTGGTCGATGCAGGCAAATCGTCGGTTTTGATGGTCATACAGTGTCATAGTTTTGGAATGAGAGAGAACTGCATCCACATCCTCAATGCGAAGCGCCAAACCCCACGGGGTTAGGTGGGTTCCCACGCCGAAAACCCCTGGCCAAACCCTCAAAAGAATCTAAAAGCACCAAACTGGCGGATCTATAAAAGACTCTTTACCCAGCCCCACGGGAGTTGGTTCATACGAATCACATTGATTGGCCTAGGGGAGGTCGCTATAGTGATGGCCCAAACGTGGGCCAAAACAGGGAACCACCCCCTGTCCCTGGATGTGACAATGCCCAGACCATCCATATAATATGTACGGAATAGGTATATAGTATATACATGCACCATCATGTACCCCATTGATGGCTTGCCAGGAGCTCAAGATTCATCGATCGCGCAACGAGTGGCAGGAGGTTCGGGACATGGACTAGATGAGCCCAGACCTACCCAGGAAAAGTGCATAACTCTTTAAGCCCTTTTTGGGACATTCGGAGTCACAAGCGCAAAGAACAGACGGAAAGTAAGAGTTCCAAGGATCTCCAGTGCCATACAGACCCAGAAGATGGCCTGTACATGCCTGTGAAGGGATGCCCGTATCCCCGTGACTCCCATCATCCCGGATCATGGGCCCCAGAACTGGTCACGACCAGAGCTCATTCGGTAGCGACGAACCTGGATGCCTCGGACGACCTGATCGGTGACGCGACTCGGTCGTGGTCTCCTGGTGACGCCGGTCGGCCACGTGGATTCACACGACCGGCAGTCCTACGACACCGTAGGACTGCCGAGAAAAGGTCAGGGGTGTTTGGGAATGAATGAGGTGTCTGTTTGGAGGCATAGAGTCCAGTCCCATGGAGTGTGGAATGGATTGACTCCTCCTGAAGCAGTCCAAGTCCACTTCAAGTCGATCCTCAGTCGGGCCAGGGGCTGGGAGGCAGTCGATCGTGGGGGGAAATCATCCGAACTGGAGGGACCTGGATGTTATGGAATGGTTTCGGATGTTGCCGGCCAATCGCTTGAACCTTTACATGTTTAGACTGTTTTAGACTACCTGTGGAACCCAAACCTACGATTTTGTTCATATTTTTTAGGGGTTCTTGGTTCTCTAGGTAGATGGCACACACCACATGTCTTGTATACAGGATGGGGAGGTTCACAATGATTTGCACCACCCAACCAGAGCCCAGAGGTGCCATCCACGAGCCCAGCGGCGTCGTTCAATCGAGAAGAGTTCTTCCAAAATTTGCGGAGGCCCAGGTGCTAGGTGGAGCCCAGGTGTTAGGTGGAGTCAAGGGGCATGACTACTGGAACAAGGGCATTACTAGTAGCAGCTATTTAATTACTGGTAATGTCCTTGTGACTACTAGCTTCTAGCTACTCTAAGTAGTAATGCCCTTGTTCCTCCAAAGTGGGCAGAGGTCAGAGCAGAGTTCTGCCTCCCAAGTTGGTCCCCAAATCCCATGAAGACTTGGTGTCCTCCCGTGACGATGTGTGCTCCGACCCTCCGGTGCGCGGAAGTGACCCGTTTCGTATCCGAAATGGCTCGAAGCTTGAAGCATGTGAAAGCAGAGATGATTTGGATCTTTTGGTGTTTTCCTTGGCCAACAGACCAAGAGACCAACCGATCTCCCAAATCAAACCTATGTGAATCCGAACATGACCCGGTGCACCGACTCCCAATGCCCTGTCTTTTTTGGGACCCGGTGCTTTTCCGTGGTTTTCCGTGGTGTGCAACTCGCGTCCAACCAAATTGTGTGTGTTTATTTTTTTTCGGTGCGCGTCATGCGGTTTGAGAAGATGGGGTGGATGGGATTGGCCAGGCCATTGGTGTGCTGGATGCCATCCGGGCAGACGGCCTCACGTTGCGGAGCTGAAGGAGTGTTTGAGGATGTTCGAGGAAAGGAATATATATATATATAACAAATTACCAGCACCATCCAACAGGTCACCACCTGCCACCTTTAAGTCTGCAAAAGCCACCAGAGGAGACCTTATACTGTATAATATATAGGTACCTTGGTAGGCTGGACTGTCAACCAAAAGGCCTTTAGAACGGTCTGGACAGATTTGCCTGGGTTCCCGACCAGTTTCGTTCGGCCGTTTCGACAAGTTTCGCTCATCAAATTGTCACACTGTTGGGTCACACTGTTGGCACAAAGGGAGAAGCATGCAGCATGCGCTGAAAGTTTGGACGAAAGAAATCTTAGGATGGGGATCGCGGTGGAGAAGGCGGGATCCATTCACTCATCGCTTTTGGGGAGGATCATAGTGTAGACTGATTAATACACCCCTCCATTTGAATTGAAACAGTACCTCTTCATACCGGGGGAGTTATTAATCAAGAGTCCACGTTAGGTCCAACCTTAGCCCATCACGCGTTCACAACCCGGAGAAGCTGTTGGTTTTCACCGGGCGCGAGCTTCCGCGCCGGTCCGTGACGTGACCGGCGCGGCACGGTGAGGGCCACGAAACCAGCACTCCCCTTCGGCAATGCATCGAACAAAGGGAAGAACATCCAAGACGCCAGACGAGTTCGAGAACACTCTTTCAGACCTATCGCAGAAACAGCGCACAGCTGGATGCTCCGAAGAACAGCGCACTTCTTTCGCCACATCTCTGGTCGTTGATCATGGTGGCCCTCCCTTTCTCCCTTCGTCGACCACGCGTCGTCGTCGCGCTGAAGAGCCGGGTCGTGGAGGAACTAAAAGCCCGAGGCCAACGCTGAACGTCACCAACAGCGCGATGAGTGCGCTGCAGAAGCCCGGGTGCGGAAGCTCGGAAACAAACCCAGACACCACCCATGGGACTGCCATAGATGCCGATCAGGCCAGGGGTGGTGCCATGGGGGTTAATGTAGGCATATATGGCAGTCCCATGGAGCGTCTTGGTTGGGGGACTCAGAGGCGTTTTTCACGTTGGACGCCACCTCTGAGAGAACATGGCCGCGGATCACCTGCCCAACCGGTTTGTTTTTTCGGCATGGGAGACGCCCCATGAGGTGGAAAGTGGTTCTTCCAAAAACGATGTTCTCCCCCTGATCTTTTTCTGCCCGGTTCCAGGCTTCTTCTCCAACCGCCTCAAACCCGTCCTGTTTCATCATATGATCCGACCATCGGAGCATCCGGTAAAGCTGGCATCAGATGTGGGTGTTAGCCCAGTAAATATGGATCACTACGTTTAAGATGGAAAGGCCTGCAACCGAACCATCATCATCCACTGAAGCCTGGTAATGGTTGTTTGGGATTCAGACCAGGGCCAGGAATCTCGGAGGTCTGCTCTTCACTTGGCGTGGTCAGCTTTTTCCTCCGCTTCGCGAGGAAGTGGGAGCTGGTCCTGACGCTCATGTCAGAGATGCGCTGGGAGGGGTTCGGAGCACCCAGCTGCTCGGGGTGTGCGGAGGCGCTGCGGCCCAGCCGAGGCGAAGGCGGAGGTGGGTGGCTGAGCGGAATGTCGGCTTTCGCAAGGTAGTTGCGTAGGGGTTGGATGAAAGAAGGGTGCAAAGCGGTGGATTGGCTCGGCCTTGGCAACTTGGGGGAAGTTTTAAGGGAAAGCTCCAGTGCTTCAGGGGCATGGGATGAAACAAGGGCATCCTACCCACATTTGGATACATTGATTTTCAACTGAGACCACCAACTACATGTTTGAGGTCCAGCAACGCTTTGTATTTTTCAAGTTTTTGGGCCCCCTCAGTGAGCAAAAGGGTAATTTGAAGGAAAAGAGGTCGGCAAATTGCCAGTTTGGCGAATCGGGGTACCTACAATGACCATTCAACGCTCCTTCAGAGAACCTACCTGAGCCATTCGGTAAACCCTCTTGCGTGATCCTGCACGCGTAGGCAAACACTGTGGTCGCGTAAGGGCTGCGCAAGATTCGGCGTAAGCCCGACGACGTCAAGACCTACAGTACTTGTCATATTTAGGCGCGTAAGCAAAACCTCCAGTGGCGTAAGGTTGCATAAGCAGTGGCGTAAGCAACCCCTCGGCATAAGCTAAAACTGCAGTCGCGTAAGCGCTGCAGAAGCTTTCGCGGAAACGATGTGCTGTGACATAGGAGCATATCGAAGTTTTCAGAAACTCACCTCATTCGACTCTTTGCCGCTGCCAGACGCTCCATTCCAGTCCTATGGTTTACATGACTGGTGGCTCTTGGTGGTAGGCCATGTGGGCCACCCATAGTTGCGCCACCCTGGAGCGCTTAGGCCCTACAAGTCAACGACCTCATGAAATACTGGAGTTGGTCATACAAACACAATACTTAAGTAGGTCAGTGAGACCAGGTTTTACTGGGTCAGACTGGACTTGTGAGAATTCATCCGTCCTACCCTGCCGGTTCCTTTTGCCTTGGTCGACTCGGTCGTCCAGGAACCTACCGGACTTTTGTTCCCACACCGTGGCTATCTCAGCCATGCTTTCAGCGGGCGAGCTTGCGCCGGGGGCCCGGCCTGGGGGCGGCCCGCAGGGGGTTCTGAGGGCTTCTGAAGAAGACGGGTGTGGCTTGGACGGTGTCCTACCCAGGAAAAGAGGTGAAGAGTGTATCACCTGCAGGGCACCTTGTTTTGAGGGATTTCGGGTGGAAACCTGACTGAAAGCCAGGTGGAAAGAGGTTGACCCTTGGAGTGAGGGTTTTGGGCGGTTTCATGTTTGAAAGGGTTCCATGATGAGTCTCAGTGTTTGTTAAAAACGCATGAGTCAAACAGTCAAACCTCTCAGAAAGCCCGGAATTCGACTTCGAAGACATGAGTCCGGCTTTACCCATCCCATCACTTCACTAAGTGATGTTTGGTGCTTCACCGCACCCCATCTGCAGGAGAGCGGTGAAGCACCTTGAAGAGATGCAGCAACAAGGTGGAAGATGCGGGGGAAGCGTCTGAGTCTGCTGAGGTGGTTCTTTCTTTGGCCGCCGGTCTGCGTAGGCCACGTAGGCCGAAGATCCAACGGTCCGGCTTCGCACGGTTGGATCCTCATCCTCATGCGACCCACGGTCTCTTTTGTTGAAAGGACGTTGGAGCTGACCGGGGTGACCGGACGTTTTGCGGATCTATAGTTTTGCGGTGTGTTGTTCCCCTCTCTGGGTCAATCCCCGTTTCTCATCTTTTCTCAGGAACATGATCCAGAACAAACAGGTTCTCTTTTGGGAACACAAAGGAGGTCTGGCCACGATTGCCGTGGCCGTGCCGTCCTTTCTTCACCGCAAGAAGATGGCCTTGGACAAGGGTCGGCGTGCCCATGCTTGGCCGAGCCTGGTGAAGAGGTGTCTTGTTTCCTGGACAGCGAATGCAAGTAATTCAAGACTTGCCCAAGTTCTTCGTCTGATCCAGGACTTCCATGGATCCAAAGAAGGCTCCGGGATCCATGAAGGAGCGCTCAGATGTCAATTACCCAAGATTCCAAGCACCATGGTTCATCATGGTTCTTACTGAACAACCATTACTGCGGACTTGTTTATACAAATCCAGGCTCAACCCATATTACATTCGATCCATTACTCCGGTGGACCTGCCGACCTCGGTTTTGTCCTCCAAACGGTCCGTGCAGGCATCGAGCCGACAGCCTTGACCTACGGCCGGGTGATCTTTGCCTTGGAGGACCCCATCGTCGGCCGCGTCGCCGGTGGAGAAGACGCGACGCGATCTTCGCCGTGGCGAAGATGGAGTCCGTTCCAGATGTCGTTGATATTGTTTGGACCGACCGTGAAACGGAAAAATCCAGATCTTGATGTTCAAGCAATTTAACTTGGGATGATTGATTGAAACCACTCACTCTGGCCCAGTTAGGATGTGGCTCAAGACATGATCCTGCCCCTCAAAATCCCCACAGGCTCTCAGGGAGTCATCGAAAAGTGTTCTGACGAAGTTGAGTCTAGGAATGAACACTTCTTTTTGGTGCCAAATATACCCATTCACTCCTGTTCACTCGTGTTTCCTCTCTCTCCAAAGATGTGCACCAGTTTCAAGCGCGTTTGAACTCGTTTTCAGGCCAATGGGCATCCAGAGATGGCCTTGCACCGGAGCCCAGTTGCACCGGGAAGATGGGGCAAAACGATGGCAGTTCCAGATGAATGGAACGTCCTACCTGTAGAGGACATTTCCGGGTCAACAAGAGCATCACGCATCCAGGCCCCAATCATCCACTCGGGGCTCAAAGATCGGACCCAACATATGAAGAACATTCCACGCTTTCTTCCATGCAACCAGGGCGACATGGAAGGCATTTGGAGTCTGTTCTCGAAGACGATGTCGTTTTGATTCCGAAAAAAACCACGCTTTTCCCGGACCTGCGGACTGGTGCAAAAGCTGTCGCCTTCGTTGAACCGTGCCCTGAAGTGAGAATTCCCCCACAAAAAGTGGACCTTGGACTGTCACAGTGTGGAACAGTTTTTCAATGTGTTTCATTGGTGGTTTTCAATATCTCTGCACTTCGTTCGAGCAGACCAAGGAGTGTTTTTGTGCAGTGAGAGAGTGGAGAGCACCCGTAAGATGTCTGGACAGATCGACGCGTGATCTGAAATTCCAGACACCCAGACACCTCGCTGACGCCTCCGCTTTTTGGTGTGTTCAATTGTAGCAATCTTGCTGCTAGTAACAGGTGCATCGCTAGTATAGTAGCAAGTGCATCGCTACTAGTAGCTTCTTGCTACTAGTAGTAATGCACTTGTTACTAGTAGAGATGCACTTGTTACTCATATATTTACTCATTATACTTGTATGACAACATACTATTTGTGGGTGGTGAACTTGCTCAATCAATCAACAGATGTTGTTTGAGCTTCCAGATGTGAATCTGGATTTCTTGAGATGCCCCCACTGACGTTTGTTTTTTTTGCCCCTTCAGAGAGAAAATCATTCAATATCATGGAGAATGATAGATGTCGAACGAAGCTAGCCGCTAGCCTGTGCGATTCAACAAGGCCCAACAGTTCTTTACGAGGAAGAACACCAGGAGTTTCTTTTGAGGGTGTTTTTTCTGGTGGTGCCACCAGGCAGGACCAGTTTAGACTAGTAGACCAAACAGAATGTAGGTCCTGGTTCCGGGGAGCTGTAAATCCAAGTCCATAAACCACCCTTTCAAAGGTGCTGGGTTGATGTATACTATAGCTTCATGCTTTTGGAACATAACTGTTGGACACTCTCCAATGAAGACTCAACCTGTAGCAGTAACACTCAATTTACAGACACCGAACTGAACAGTAATCTACATAGTCTCTCTTGAAATGCCTCAGTAGGTTTGACTCGCCCAGCAGAAAGGCTAGGCATCGGACAACATGCAAGTTTTGCAACAGCAGACCAACTAAATGGTGGAGATCATTTGCTGATTATGGATTGTTATGGATGTTTACCAACTAAACCCGGCAACACAACAATTCTGTCAGCTTTGAGCTGGTTTCTCCCATCGCACCATCGCCCACCCGACCCAAACGCCGCCTCGCCCCGCACGGCCACGGAACTGCCGCGGGCGAAGCTGCGGATGAGAGGCACCTGTGGGACCAGATGCGGCGCAAGGAGATCGAGCCAGATCGGCCGGGGTCTCCAAACCCACGGCGCCGCTCACCCCGTGTCCTGCGGCGGGGCGGGGTTGGACCCGATGCTAGACGTCTGGACCCGTTTTTTGGGGGACCCCCGTTCGGACGAACGCGCGTTGGGACCCGCGAGGGTTCGAAGGTGCTGAACACGGAGCGGAAATGACTAGTAACAAAGTGCATCGCTGCTAGTAACAAGAAGCTATATACATGCTAGACTAGTACAGCTATATATTTGCTACTACTAGTAGCTACATGCCCTTGTTACTAGTATGGGTCGGTCGGTTCGGCGGCTTTTTTGGGCGACCGGTCGACCCAAAAATCGGTGCGACTCTTGGTGCGACTCTTGGTGCGACTCTTGATGAAGACACCCTCCCCAGGTGGAGGGACAAACCTCGTGAAACTGTGGGGCGCACAGCGCGTGAGTCCAGCGACAGCATTTGGTGCATATATGTTGTATCTAGTGATAACAACACTTAGGCTTGATTGACTGGAGGGATGGTTTACTGTACTCCTTCAGTATGGACAGCTCCATACTGCGCACCGGTGAGCGAGTCGTTGCGAGGGCGGATCATCCTGACGAGGCGAACGACGTGGTGCCATGGGAACATCACCTGGCCCTTGACCGATCTTCTAGGTGGTAAACTCCACTGGCCCTTGGAAGTGGAGTCTCTGCCATGCCTTCCTCTCGGCATCATGTGGAGTCTCCGGCTCTCTCGTTTCTCCAGAAAAGTGGGGAACCGGGCTCTTCAATGGCCGGGATCGATTCTTCGATCGACTTCACGTGTCATCCGCGAAGACACGCGACCTTCGCCGCCACCGACCCCGGCGCCATCCGAGGGTGGGCTATGAAGCGGCCATCCGTGCCTGCCATCGCTGCCGGGGCAGCCCGCTTCGACCGCGTGCGTCCGGTGCTGCGGGGCGCGGAGGGTTCGAAGCAGGAAAATGCCCAGCGCTTGATTCGTTGATTCCTGTTTGGATGGATTTAAAACGAGACCGGGTCAAACATGATGTAAATCAATCCCTTGGCAAGGTGAGCGGATAGCGGCTGGGGATGGTGATTCTGAATGATTCTGATGTGTTTGACTGACTTGGGGCCCCCTACTCTTGGCCTGGCGGTGTAATCCCAAGAGCAGGAAAGACCAAAAGGATCCAAAAGGCTGTTGTAAGATAGGGAAAGTACCAATATCATTGATCATACAATATCTTTCATCCAAGACCTTCCAACTCGATTCAGCTGTAACCATACTGGTGCAGAGTGGATCAGATCCAGATCCAGATCCGTTTGATGTCGGCTCAAGACCTGGATCGGCTGTTACCTCTCAAAGTCGACCGACTTCGGTCCGCCAGGACACCTCCGGTCCATGACTTGTCCCGTCCGTCAGCCCATATAGCCCAACAGTCTCTCAAATGAAACCATAAGACCCCGAAAGGCAAGGCGCTGACCTGGGTTCCAAATCTGACCTGGGTGCGTGCTTTTGGTGGATGTTTACATGTATAATGGAACGTTTGGATACAGTTCAAATCGCCTTTCGCACCACTTGTGGGACCTGATGCACGTCTACTCCCGACCTCGTGACCCGGTCGTGACTCGTTTCTTTCGCACCAGTAACCCCCAGTCCCGTTCGTTCGTTCGGCAAGCCATCCGCGCCGGTGCTTGTCCACCCTTTTTGGGGGGAACCCCCTCAGAGGCGAGTATTGGGAAGCCGTGTTGGAGCTCTTCGGTGAGATGCAGGAGAGCGGGAAGGGAGTGGACGAGCAGCGATGCCAGCGACAGTGCGAGAGAGTGGCAGGGGTTGGGTGTGGAGTCGGGCCAAGTCCAAGGGAAAGGGGTGGGAGGTTGATCAATTTGAAGGTCACCTACTTCACGGGTTGATGAAGCAAGTGAGCGTTTCTTTTTTGTGTGCAGGTACCTGTACCCAGAACGTCCAGGACACAGGAAAACTTGAACTTAGGTAAGCGACATACTTTTACTGCAGTGTCACGTCGAAAGACCGTGATCCAGCGTGATCCCTGAAGCACACTTTTTTGCTCATGAAGGGGTAGGGGTCATGAGCTCTTTGCTGGGGTGATTCTGCCAGGAACTCAACTTGTTAAGCATCTTTTGGTTGAAGTTTGGCGCATGTTGGCGCTGGGCAAACGAAAAGTTGCTTAGGTGACCTGGCGCAATGAACAAGGCTTTTCGAAAACGTATTTGCCTTAGAGTCATCGATTCACTGGGCTGACAATGCCTTGACAAGTGGATTTCAAAGGTCGATTGGCTCCTGGAGGACAAGGTGCCAACTCCTTTGCCTACGCTTGGCCGTGCGGGCACTGCATTTTTTCATGTGTTCTTGCCGTGGCTTTCAAGCCATGCATCCTTATGGAAGGCATTTTGTTCCAAGCTAGGGTGAAATAGTCGCCTGTATTCGCCTGTCTCGCCATGCCTGATTCAAAGCCCGATGAACAAAGGGTCAATGACCTGAAGGTGGGGGTGAGTGAGCAACAATTAAAAGCCCGTGAGTAAAAAGAGTGTACAACATGAACGATACAAACCCGATGCCGCTACCTGTCCAGCAGTGATGCAGGCCTTCTACGAAGCGATTCTGGAGCAGCCAGACTACCGTTCCAATCGTTTCAAGGTCTTGGGACGTGAAGAAGGTATATCAAAGGAAGATATCCGAAGAGACCTGTGGATGAAGAAGGCTAGCTTCTAATTTGCGTAATCTGTTTGAGAAAAACTAAATATTTAAGCGATATATTGGTGTTTGTTCCGTCAAGATGACTGCCAACCACCAATTGATTCCAGGCTCCTTGCGTGTTCACCTTTGTAGACGTTCGATTCAGTAAGCGCAAAAAGACCATTGACCAGACCCAGGTGGGGATTGAATAATCACACAATGTTTGTGGATTTTGCGGTATACATCAATTAATATGAAGTGGCTGGATCCCTTCAACCCTGACCAACTCCTGCAGGTGGTTTTGGACATCAACTACGAGTTCCTGACGAAGTGGTTGGAGAAGTTCACTTTGAATGCGCCAACTGCGAAGGAGGTTCAGGTCTGCCGTCCTTGTTCAAGTGTTTTCATGGCTCAATAAATGTGTTCTATAGTACAACCCCTAACAGTTCAAACTCTTTCTAGGCGGCGCTCAGTCAATGCGCCGTGAAATATATCCTGGTCAACTCCAACGATCCCTCGGATGATGCAGTCCAGGACCCGCCATTTTTTTTCCGATCACCTGACGAGCAAGGATTCAGCAGCCCACAACCTGGTATCGCAGGAGTGGGCAGAGATTGAAGGGAACACTCACCGGGGCCTAGCCTCATATGTGATTTCGAGAACTGGCCGAACGCAAAAGGGGAGGCTGGCGTGTTGGTCCAGTACAGTGTCACCAAGGATTGAATTTGAATTGTGTACAGTATACTAAAAAACATCGGCCATTAGATTTCTTGGAGGCATCCAAGGATTCAAGCACTCAAGGAAATTGTTGCCAGGATCTTCGAGGACCTTTGGTGTGCATCCAACACTTTTTTTTGATGTTTGCTGACCGACAGGAAAACAACATCGAGAAGCGTGGGAAATCCACCAGGAGCTTTGTAAAAAGACCTGCTTCCACTGGATCGTTGGTGGACCAATCTGAGACACAAGTGCTAGGAGGCCAGTCCAGCGCTATATTTGTCAGCTGGGATTCAACATTATCTTTTTTGTTCAGGTGGCGATGACCCAGCGAATGTGGAGACCGAGATCCTTTATGAGGAAGAATGTGAGGAGGAGGTTGAAACAACGGATGAGGAGGCCGGCCCTCAACGAAACAAGCTGACTTGGAATTACAATCGAGACCTCACTTTTAAATACAAAAACACACCGACGGTCCAAAATCCTGACCCACAGGTTGAGCCTCACGTTGATGAATCTTCAGATCCAATGGCGGTCAAGAAGGTTTTGGTCCTAGCGGCCGACTTGTGCGATTCGAGCATATTCGAGCTCTTGCTAACTCATCCAACATATCATGTGAGCATGTGGGCCGGTAGTAGTCTAGTAGCCTTTCGAAGAAACCTTGTATCGAATTCGGGTCGCACGATTTGAGGTTGAGCCTGCACCTCCACCAGCAACAGCATCGCCAGCAGATGCTTCGTTCTCAGACCTGGCGTCACTTTCCAATGCTAAACACTCAGTCGAAAGCCAGCCACAACTCTTATGTACGTGTGCACGCTCACAAATCTTCATTCAGGTCATCATTCTCGATGACACCACGGAATGCTGTGGCGCATGTGGACAATGGCACCCTGGTGCTGTGGAATGGCCCGATAGTCAGCCAGCGGAACCAGTGGTGTGTTGCAGAACCAGTGGCATCCCCGAAAAGCCTAGTCCAGACTTGGTGGAACCCACTCAGCTTGAAACGTCTTCATCGGCCCCTGTTTCTGAATCCAGTGCGCCAGACGCAGAACTTGTCAACAAGAAGGAGGAGGTAAAGGCCAGTGGACTCCCAGCTCCCACCATCCCCGAAAGCCTAGAAAAACCTACTCCAGAGTTTGTGGACCCTGCTCGGCAGAGTTTAGAAGCAAAATTCGAAGCAGTGGCTGAACCCGGTGTGGGGGAATCTGGAATCAATGCTCATGACACGGCT